TGGTCAACGAGCGTGCCTGGTCCAGGAGCTTGCCTGGTCCAGGAGCTTGCCTGGTCCAGGAGCTTGCCTGGTCTAGGAGCTTGCCTGGTTCACGAGCCTGCCTGGTCCAAGAGCTAGCCTGGTCCACGAGCGTGCCTGGTCCACGAGCGTGCTTGATCCAGGAGCTTGCCTGGTCCAGGAGCTTGCTTAGTCTAGAAGCTTACCTGGTCCAGGAGCTTACCTGGTCCAGGAGCTTGCCTGGTCCAGGAGCTTGCCTGGTCCAGGAGGTTGCCTGGTCCAGAAGCCTGCCTGGTCCAAGAGCTTGCCTGTTCCAGGAGCGTGCCTGGTCCAAGAGCTTGCGTGGTCTAGGAGCTTGCGTGGTCCAGGAGCTTGCCTGGTGCACAAGCTTGCCTGGTCCACGAGCGTGCCTGTTCTAAGAGCGTGCCTGGTCCAGGAGCGTGCCTGGTCCAGGAGCGTGCCTGGTCGAGGAGCGTGCCTGATCCAGGAGCTGGCCTGGTCTAACAGCTTGCCTGGTCCAGGAGCGTGCCTGGTCCAGAAGCTTGCCTGATCCAGGAGCTTGCCTAGTCCAGGTGCTTGCCTGGTCTAGGATCTTGCCTGGTCTAGGAGCATGCCTAATCCACGAGCTTGCCTGGTCCAAGAGCTTGCCTGGTCCAGGAGCGAGCCTGGTCCAGGAGCGTGCCTGGTCCAGGAGCGTGCCTGGTCCAGGAGCTTGCCTGGTCTAACAGCTTGCCTGGTCCAGGAGCGGTCCTGGTCCAGGAGCTTGCCTGATCCTGGAGCTTGCCTGGTCCAGGAGCTTGCCTGGTCTAGGATCTTGCCTGGTCAAGGGGCATGCCTCGTCCACGAGCTTGCCTGGTCCAAGAGCTTGCCTGGTCCAGGAGCTTGCCTGGTCTAGGAGCTTGCCTAGTGCAGGAGCTTGCCTAGTCCACGAGTGTGCCTGGTCAAGGAGCCTGCCAGGTCCATGAGTTTGCCTAGTCCAGAAGCTTGCCTGGTCCACGAGGTTGCCTGGTCTAGGAGCTTGCATGGTCGAGGAGCGTGCACGTTCCAGGAGCTTGCCTCGTCCAGGAGCTTGCCTGGTCGAGGAGCTTGCCTGGTCTAGGAGCTTGCCTAGTGCAGGAGCTTGCCTAGTCCACGAGTGTGCCTGGTCCACGAGTTTGCCTGGTCCAAAAGTATGCCTAGTCCTGGAGCTTACCTGGTCTAGGAGCTTGCATGGTCCAGGAGCGTGCCTGGTCCAGAAGCTTGCCTGGTCGAAGAGCTTGCCTGGTCCAAGAGCTTGCGTGGTCTAGGAGCTTGCGTGGTCCAGGAGCTTGCCTTGTCTAGGAGCTTGCCTAGTCCAGGAGCTAGCCTGGTCCAGGAGCCTGCCTGGTCCACGAGTTTGCCTAATCCAGAAGCTTGCCTGGTCCAGGAGCTTGCCTGGTCCAAAAGCTTGCCTGGTCTAGGACCTTGCCTGCTATAGCACTTTCGTGGTCACGGAGCTTGCCTGGTCCAGGAGCTCGCCTGGTCCAGGAGCTTGCCTGGTCCAAGAGCGTGCCTGGTCCACAAGCTTGCCTCGTCCAGGAGCTTGCCTTGTGCAGGAGCTTGCCTGGTCGAGGAGCTTGCCTGGTCTAGGAGCTTGCCTGGTCCAAGAGCTTGCCTAGTCCAGGAGCTTGCCTAGTCCAGGAGCTTGCCTGGTCCAAGAGCTTGCCTGGTCGAGGAGCTTGCCTGGTCCAGGAGCTTGCCTGGTCCAAGAGCTTGCCTGGTCCAGGAGCTTGCCTGGTCCAGGACTGTGCCTGGTCCACGAGTTTGCCTGGACCAGGCAAGATCCTAGACCAGGCAAGCTCCTGGACCACGCAAGCTTCTGGATCAGGCAAGCTCCTGGACCAGGCACGCTCCTGGACCAGGCAAGCTCTTAGACCAGGCAAGGTCCTGGACCACGCAAGCTCGTGGATCAGGCACGCTCCTAGACCAGGCAAGCACCTGGACCAGGCACGCTCCTGGACCAGGCACGCTCATGGACCAGGCACGCTCGTGGACCAGGCACGCTACTGGACCATGCACACTCCTGGACCGCGTAAGCTCCTAGACCAGGCAAGCTCTTGGACCAGGCAATCTCGTGGACCAGGCAAGCTTGTGGACTAAGCAAGCTCCTGGACCAGGCAAGCTCTTGGACCAGGTAAGCTCCTGGACTAGGCAAGCTTCTGGACCACGCAAACTCGTGGACCAGGCACGCTCTTGGACCAGGCAAGCTCCTGGACTAGGCAAGCCCTCAGACCAGGCATGCTCCTGGACCAGGCAAGCTCCTGGACCACGCAAGCTCTTGGACCAGGCAAGCTCTTAGACCAGGCAAGCTAGTGGACTAGGCAAGCTCCTGGACCAAGCAAGCTCCTGGACCAGGCAAGCTCTTGGACTAGGCAAGCTCCTGGACTAGGCAAGCTCTTAGACTAGGCAAGCTCTTGGACTAGGCAAGCTCCTGGACCACGCAAGCTCTTGGACCAGGCAAGCTCTTGGACCAGGCAATCTCGTGAATCAGGCACGCTCCTGGACCAGGCAACCACCTGGACCAGGCACGCTCCTGGACCAGGCACGCTCGTGGACTAGGCACGCTCCTGGACCAGGCACGCTCCTGGACCAGGCACGCTCCTGGACCACACAAGCTCTTGGACCAGGCAAGCTCTTGGACCATGCAATCTCGTGGACGAGGCAAGCTTGTGGACTAAGCAAGCTCTTGGACCAGGCAAGCTCTTTGACCAAGCAAGCTCGTGGACTAGGCAAGCTTCTGGACCACGCAAACTTGTGGACCAGGCACGCTCCTTGACCAGGCAAGCTCCTGGACCAGGAAAGCTCCTGGACCAGGCAAACTCTTGGACCAGGCAAGCTTCTTGACCAGGAAAACTCGTGGACCAGGCATGCTCCTGGACTAGGCAAGCTCCTGGACTAGGCAAGCCCCTAGACCAGGCAAGCTCCTGGACCAGGCAAGCTCCTAGACCACGCAAGCTCCTGGACCAGGCAAGCTCTTAGACCAGGCAAGCTAGTGGACTAGGCAAGCTCCTGGACCAGGCAAGATCCTGGACCAGGCAAGCTCTTGGACTAGGCAAGCTCCTGGACCAGGCAAGCTTCTCGACCAGGCAAACTCGTGGACCAGACAAGCTCCTGGACCAGGCAAGCTCCTGGACCAGGCAAGCTCTTGGACCAAGCAAGCTCCTGGACCAGGTAAGCTTCTGGACCAAGCAAACTCGTGGACCAGGCACGCTCCTGGACCACGCAAGCTCCTGGACTAGGCAAGCTCCTAGACGAGGCAAGCTCCTGGACCAGGCAAGCTCCAGGACCACGCAAGCTCTTGGACTAGGCAAGCTCTTGGACCAGGCAAGCTCCTGGACCAGGCAAGCTCCTGGACCAGGCAAGCTCTTGGACCAGGCAACCTCCTAGAAAAGGCAAGCTCCTGGACCAGGCAAGCTCATGAACCAGGCACGCTCATGGACCAGGCAAGCTCCTAGACTAGGCAAGCTCTTGGACTAGGCACGCTCCTAGACTAGGCAAGCTCTTGGATCAGGCAGGCTTCTGGACAAAGCAAGCTCCTGGACCAGGCACACTCCTGGACCAGGCAAGCTCCTAGACCAGGCAAGCTCCTGAACCAAGCAAGCTCCTAGACCAGGCACGCTCGTGGACCAGGCACGCTCCTGGACCAGGAAAGCTCTTAGACCAGGCAGGCTCGTGGACCAGGCACGCTCCTGGGCCTGGCAAGCTCCTGGACCAGGCAAGCGCCAGGACCAAGCAAGCTCCTGGACGAGGCACGCTCGTGGACCAGGCACGATCCTGGACTAGGCAAGCTCCTGGACTAGGCAAGCTTCTGGACCACGCAAACTCGTGGACCAGGCACGCTCCTTGACCAGGCAAGTGTCAACGGGAGTTGTATGTTGGCCCCGTCCACGCTTGGGCGGAGCCGACATCGTGGTCGGGTGTTAGGGGAGCAGCCGACCTGCAGTAGTGGGCGAGCTGGTCGACGAGGAGGTCGACCTGCATGGGGACCACTGCACGGGCGCCGACTTCAGGGTGGCGCCAACTTCGGGGAGGTCGACTTAAGCGTCGACCTGCGGAGGACGTCAACTTGGGAAGCCGACTTTGGTGGTCGGCTCATGTGCTGGTCGACTTGCGGGTGGTCGACTGGACCGGTGGTCGACGAAGGAGGGGTCGACGTCGAGTAGCAGGACGTCGAGCAGTCAGGACGTCGAGCAGTCGGGCGTCGAGCAGTCGGGCGTCGAGTGACATGGTCGTCGACCGAGGGGCATGGTCGACCCGGTGAGGTCGACAACGAGGTGGTCGTCGACTTGGGAGGTCAACGGACACGTACGGGAGTTGCTGGTCGATGTGGTTGCCCGGTCGACCAGGTTACCTGGGTGACGAAGTGCTGCGGAGGAGTGCGACGGTCGCCCAGGCGAAGCTGGCGAGACCGACCTTGGTGGTGGTATCACGAGGTCGTCGTGGCAGATCAGAGGTAGCCGTCAGCCCGAGGCTGACGTGGTGTGTGTGTGCTGTGCAGGTGATGAGGCTCGGCATACCAATCATCTGCACGCACCTGCAAAGCGGGTGCACTGCTGGCACACCGTCGACCTGAAGCATTGGCAAGCTGTCGACTTTGCTCTGCTGGAGCGCGGTCGACCAAGTCGTGTTGGAATGCGGTCGACCATGCTGTGCTGGCAGTTGACCAACCTGAATGCTAGCTCTGATGTAGTCTTGCATTGCCAACTTCATTGTACCATTGTTGTGATCTTTTCTTAGTGAAACTCTTGCCAAATTGCCCCGTGAACTAGCAAGCAGTGTTAGCACTAGGAAAACGTCTAAGGACCAACGAACGCAGAGATCACACGAGCACACGTGCCTAGCCAGTAGTCTAGCTCCCGTTGTAGTAGTTATCTCCGCATGGTGCGGTGAGCGTGGACGGCACACGACTTACCTTTCAGTCAGGTCGACGTAGATACCACTTACCTTTTTCGTAGTTACAGGCCGGCAACTGTGCAGTAGTCACTATGGTAGGAGCCGTAGGTGACGCGGGGGTGGTGGACACCCTGGAGGCACGGTTGGAGAACGCGAGGAGGAAGCATGAGGCCAATGAGTATGGCGACTTGCCCTGGGCGGTCGTCGAGGCTGGACTCCGCTCCACGTGGGTGACGGAGCACCCGTCTCGACCTACCTCTCCTCGTCCGGTGAACAACGAAGGCGGCGTCGACGTGGGCGTCAACGCCGGGGGTGGTCAAGTCGATAGTAGTGCTGGAGGCATGTCGAGGCAGAGAGGTGTGATACACGCCAGTGAAGTCGGCGGCGTTCAGGTGCGAGGGATGCAGACATCGGCGGCTGCAGGCTCTTCGCAGGGTGACGTCGGGGGTCGACAGAGTGGGCTGTCGCCGATGTCGGCGTCCCAGGTGACAGCAGGTGGAATTGCACCGAGCTACGGCTACTTCAAGTTCACGCCGGACAGGATCTCGGTCACCCCCCCACTGGTCGGTCGACCCGACATTCTCACCTGGAAAGAAGCTATCGAGCCCCATCTGGAGATGGCCGGGCTGATCGGCTTCGCCCGAGGGACCGTGGCGACGCTTGGGGAGCACCACCCCGACTTAAGGGCGGAGTTTCGCGCCGTGCAGCTGCTGACCTTCACGGTCATCTCGCGGTGCTGCTCGCCAGGGGTGCAGATTGCCTTAAAGTGGTGCCGAGAGTACATCGACGCCGGCCACCGGGCGTGGCACTTCATCGAGTCGACGTACCAGGTCACCGACGACCTGTTTATCGCCCAGCTGGAGGGACAGCTGACGCACCTGCGTATGGGTGACGATGAGACAGCGACCGACTACTGCAACCGGGCCCGGCGAATTCTCGCCACCATCAGGATGGCCGGCGCGCAGTACTCCACGGCATCGTACATCACCCATGTCATGCAGGGACTCTCCAGCAGCTACAACCTCCTGAAGCGGCTGTCCATGGCGCCGGGCACGAGGGCGACGCTCAACGAGGACAACTTGACCTCGTACATCCTGCAGGACGAGGCGATGCAGGAGGCTGAGCGGTCGCAGGAACTCTTGGCGCAGGCCAACTTCGTCGCCCCGGCGAAGCAAGGAGGCCGACCAGGAGAGCGCGGACAGTCTGGTGGCGGCGGGAGCGGTGGCTGGAAGTCGGCCAAGGAGGTCGACAAGAAGAAGTCGACCAAGAACAGCGGTCGAGGAGGAGGAGGTCGACGACGGGAGTGCTGGCTGTGCGGCGACCCCGACCACCTCTCCTTCGAGTGCCCCGACCGCAGTGACTCCGACGACGACGACAAGGGAAGCCGCGGGAGGTCTGACAGTCGTCGTCCCCGTCGAGGAGGAAATCGGCCGCGCAAGGAGAAGCAGTCGACCAAGACGTCGACTTCGGCGAAGGACGCCGACTCCCCTGCTGGCGGCAAGGCGCGGGACGACAAGACGGCGTCGTGCTCACTGGTCGGCATCGTGGAGCCGACCGTCTCTCTGGCGTCGGAGGCTGGGGAGGACTTCCAGGCGGTGGCGGCGGCTGTGCAGGCGAACCCGGCGGTGGTCCTGCTCGACAGTGGTTGCTCCCACCACCTGATGGGGACGAAGGAAGCCTTCGTCGACCTGCAGCCGAGCGGCTTCATCAAGCACGTGCGCGGCTTCAATGGGGCGCTGCAGGATGTCCAGGGCCGCGGCACCATCGCTCTGCAAGGGGAGGCCGGGAAGCAGGTGCTCATCCCCGACGTGCTGTACGTCCCGGGTGTGCGGGCGAACTTGCTGTCGTCCGGCCAGCTGAAGGAGCACGGTGTGAAGCTGCAAGAGGACGGCGACGGGATGCTGCTCGTCTCGGCAACGGGAGAAGTGCTCGGACGGGCGACGTACTCCGGGCGTGTCCTCTGCACCGACCTGCGTCCCTGCCCAACGAGGTCGACGTCGACAACGCCGGAGGTTGTGGCCCTGCGGGCGATTGTCTCAACAACGAAGTCGACGCCGGACCGAATGCATGCGAGGCTTGCACATGTCGGCATGGACACCATACGGAGCTCGGCGAAGAACGAGGTCGCCATTGGGTTGGATCTCAAGTCGGCGACGGGCGCCGACTCCCCGTGTGTCTTGTGCGTCGGCGGGAAGCTGGCGCGGCACACCTTCCCCGACCAAGGCTCCGACGCCGACGATGTGCTGGCAGTTGTGCACATCGACCTGTGCGGGCCGTTCCGCATGGCTGCCAAGGATGGCAGCCTGTACTTCTTGTTGCTGAAGGACCACAAGACCCGCTACGTGTGGGTGAAGCCGATCACCAAGAAGTCGGACGCGTTGCCGGTGTTTGTGCAGTGGCTGGCGGTGGCTGAGCGGCAGACGAAGAAGTCGGTGTTGATGCTGCGCTCTGACCGGGGAGGGGAGTTCCTCGGGAAGCAGTTCATCGACTTCGTGAACGACAAAGGGATCGTCCACGACCTGACCTGCCCATACACCCCGCAGCAGAACGGCATGGCGGAGCGGGAGATGCGGACGGTAGTGGAGTCGGTGCGGACAATGCTGTTGCACATGGGCGTGCAGCACCACTGGTGGCACCTCGCTCTCCGGCAGGCCGTCTGGGTCCGCAACTGCCTTGAGAGGTCGACGCTGCCGCCGGGGACGACGCCGTACCAACTGCTGACCGGGAAGAAGCCCGACTTGTCGCTGGCGTGGGTGTGGGGCTGCATGGCGCAGTTCTTAGTCCCCGAGCAGCAGCGTGGTGGGAAGCTGCAGCCGAAGGCAAAGTGGGGTCTGCACCTTGGCGTGTCGGCGGCGAGCAAGGGCTGGGAGCTCCTCGACGTCGACACCGACCGGGTGGTCACCACGTCGGACGTGGTGTTCTACGAGGAGATGTCGCTGGCCGAGTGGAAAACGGCGTCCGGGTCGGTGTCCGGCCGTTCGTCCCTCACTCCGCCATCTGACACCTCGTCGGCGACGCTGCCACTGCTTGCCGAGATCGGTGAGCTTTCTGTACAGGACGTCGAGGACGTCCGCCCCCCTGCTCCTCCTCCTGCGACCCCCGCCCCTCCCCTCGTGGTCGATCTGCGTCGGCTGACCTCAGTGTCGGCCTCCGGCGATGAGGGGAGTGGTGCGACGCCGCCTTCGGCCAAATGCATCGCCGGTGGCCGACGCGATGAGCGGCAGGGCGACGTGGGCTTGCAGTCGACGTCGACAGGGGAGGAGCAGGTCGAGAAGCAGGTCGAGGACCAGCGGCCAGCAGAGGAGCAGGCAGCAATGACGCCGACCAAGGAGCAGTCGGCGACCGGGCAGTCGGCAGGGGAGCCGACCATAGGGGAGAAGTCGGCTGGGACGCCGGCTGACGAGCAGCAGGACGTCGAGGGCAGCGGCAATGATGGAGGGGACGCCGAGGAGGTCCAGCCAGGACCACGGCGTTCAGGCCGACTTCGGAGGCCGCCTGACTTCTTCGTCCCCGCTGCCTTCACCACGGTGTACGACGTGGACGATGAGGCCGACGACCTGCTGTACGACGATGCCGAGGAGGATGAAGAGTTTCCAGAGCTCGACCCCGACATGTTAGCCGACCCCGAGCACCGTTGGGACATCTCGACGATGACGGTGAAGGAGGCGTTGGCGAGCTGGAAGGGCCCGGCAGTGAAGGCCGCCATGGAGGAGGAGATTCGCAGCCTCCTCAACATGGGAACGTGGGAGTTGGTCGAACGTCCGCCGGGAGTGAACGTCATGAAGAACCGGTGGGTGTTGACGACGAAGTACCACGTCGACGACACCGTCGAGCGCGAAAAGGCGAGGCTGGTGGTGAAGGGCTTCACGCAGGTGTATGGCGCCGACTACGACGAGACGTTCGCGCCGGTGGGCAGCTACGTCACGCTGAGGATCTTCCTCAGTATCGTCGCCGTCCGCAACCTCAACCTGATGCAGCTCGACATGAAGAACGCCTTCTTGCAGAGCAAGCTCGACAGGGTGCTCTACATGTCCCAGCCAGACTACTTCAACGACGGGATCGGCCGGGTGTGCAAGCTGCTGAAGAGCCTGTACGGGCTAAAGCAGTCGCCGCTGCTGTGGTACTTGGCGCTCAATGACGTGCTGGTCGGCGCCGGGTGGAAGAAGAGCCAGGTCGACGAGGCTCTCTACTGCAAGGTCGGAGAGGACGGAGTGGCCTGCTGGGTGCTGGTCTACGTCGACGACCTACTTGCCGCCAGCAGTAGCACCGCGATGTTGAAGGAGCTGAAGGAGCTGCTGGAAGCCGCCTTCGAGCTGCGTGAGATCTCGCCGGTGCAGAAGTACCTCGGGCTGGAGATCGTCCGCGACAGGTCGGCGGGGAAGCTGTGGCTGCACCAGCAGGGCTACGCCGACAAGCTGCGTAGGCGCTTCATCGACGAGGAGCAGACCGGGCGCACCCCGAAGACGCCGGTCTCTGTCGCCGCCTACGCTGAGTTCACGTTCGATGATGAGGAGGCACAGGAGCGGCAAGAGGAGGAGTACCGACAGAAGGTCGGCTCGCTGCAGTTCGCGGCGACGACGACGAGGCCGGACATCGCCTTCGCGTGCAGCAAGCTGGGGAGCGGTCTCACGGTGAGGAGCGACCAGCACTGGCGTGAGGTCGACCGCTGCCTCGTCTACCTCGCCAATACGCGTGACACCGCCCTGAAGTTCGGCGGTGGACCTGAGTCGCTGGACCTGGTCGGCTACGTGGACGCCGACGACGCCGGTGACAAGCAGAACAGGACGAGCACGAGTGGCTACGTGTTCGTCTATGGAGGGGCTGCAGTCTCCTGGTCGAGCCAGCGCATCAAGTGTGCGACGTTGTCGTCGAATGAGTCGGAGTACGTGGCAGCCACCGAAGCCGGCAAGGAAGGACGTCGACTTCGTTTCCTCCTTGCAGAGTTCCAGCAGCTGGATGCCGGGAAGCCGACCGTCCTTCGGGTGGACAACAAGTCGGCTATCTCAGTCGCCGAGGGCATGGGGTTGACGGGCAACCTCAAGCACATGGAGCGGCGACAGGCCTGGCTGCAGCACATGGTGAAGCGCGGGAAGTTCTCGTTGAGGTACATCCCAACGACTGAGCAGCCGGCCGACTTCCTGACGAAGGCGCTGCACTATCCGGCCTTCAACCGGTGCTCCGTCGCAATCGGCCAGGTGCGCTTGGCCGACGTGGGCGACGGCGACAACGACGTGCAGCAGTAGGTGCCATGCCCTCTTGCATGGCTGGTGCGGTGGACGACGTGCGGTGTGTTGGGTGCACGTCGACGAGCTATTCTCCGAGGAGTACTGCCGAGTGGACTTGAGGGGGACCAAGCGTGAACGCGGCAGGGGAGTGTCAACGGGAGTTGTATGTTGGCCCCGTCCACGCTTGGGCGGAGCCGACATCGTGGTCGGGTGTTAGGGGAGCAGCCGACCTGCAGCAGTGGGCGAGCTGGTCGACGAGGAGGTCGACCTGCACGGGGACCACTGCACGGGCGCCGACTTCGGGGTGGCGCCAACTTCGGGGAGGTCGACTTAAGCGTCGACCTGCGGAGGACGTCAACTTGGGAAGCCGACTTTGGTGGTCGGCTGATGTGCTGGTCGACCTGCGGGTGGTTGACTGGACCGGTGGTCGACGAAGGAGGGGTCGACGTCGAGTAGCAGGACGTCGAGCAGTCAGGACGTCGAGCACTCGGGCGTCAAGCAGTCGGGCGTCGAGTGACATGGTCGTCGACCGAGGGGCATGGTCGACCCGGTGAGGTCGACAACGAGGTGGTCGTCGACTTGGGAGGTCGACGGACACGTACGGGAGTTGCTGGTCGATGTGGTTGCCCGGTCGACCAGGTTACCTGGGTGACGAAGTGCTGCGGAGGAGTGCGACGGTCGCCCAGGCGAAGCTGGCGAGACCGACCTTGGTGGTGGTATCACGAGGTCGTCGTGGCAGATCAGAGGTAGCCGTCAGCCCGAGGCTGACGTGGTGTGTGTGTGCTGTGCAGGTGATGAGGCTCGGCATACCAATCATCTGCACGCACCTGCAAAGCGGGTGCACTGCTGGCACACCGTCGACCTGAAGCATTGGCAAGCTGTCGACTTTGCTCTGCTGGAGCGCGGTCGACCAAGTCGTGTTGGAATGCGGTCGACCATGCTGTGCTGGCAGTTGACCAACCTGAATGCTAGCTCTGATGTAGTCTTGCATTGCCAACTTCATTGTACCATTGTTGTGATCTTTTCTTAGTGAAACTCTTGCCAAATTGCCCCGTGAACTAGCAAGCAGTGTGAGCACTAGGAAAACGTCTAAGGACCAACGAACGCAAAGATCACACGAGCACACGTGCCTAGCCAGTAGTCTAGCTCCCGTTGTAGTAGTTATCTCCGCAGCAAGCTCCTGGACCAGGCAAGCTCCTCGACCAGGCAAACTCTTGGACCAGGCAAGCTCCTGGACCACCCAAGCTTCTTGACCAGGCAAACTCGTGGACCAGGCACGCTCCTGGACCAGGCAAGCTCCTGGAATAGGCAAGCCCCTAGACCAGGCAAGCTCCTGGACCAGGCAAGCTCTTGGACCACGCAAGCTCTTGGACCAGGCAAGCTCTTGGACCAGGCAAGCTAGTGGACTAGGCAAGCTTCTGGACCAAGCAAGCTCCTGGACCAGGCAAGCTCTTGGACTAGGCAAGCTCCTGGACCAGGCAAGCTTCTAGACCAGGCAAACTCGTGGACCAGGCACGCTCCTGGACGAGACAAGCTCCTGGACCAAGCAAGCTCCTGGACCAGGCAAGCTCTTGGACCAAGCAAGCTCCTGGACCAGGCAAGCTTCTGGACCAGGCAAACTCGTGGACCAGGCACGCTCCTGAACCACGCAAGTTCCTGGACTAGGCAAGCTCCTAGACCAGGCAAGCACCTGGACCAGGCAAGCTCCAGGACCACGCAAGCTCTTGGACCACGCAAGCTCTTGGACCAGGCAAGCTCCTGGACCAGGCAAGCTCATGAACCAGGCACGCTCCTAGACTAGGCAAGCTCCTGGACCAGGCAAGCTCCTGGACCAGGCAAGCTCCTAGACTAGGCAAGCTCTTGGACTAGGCACGCTCCTAGACCAGGCAAGCTCTTGGATCAGGCAGGCTTCTGGACAAAGCAAGCTCCTGGACTAGGCACACTCCTGGACCGGGCACGCTCCTGGACCAGGCAAGCTCCTAGACCAGGCAAGCTCCTGAACCAAGCAAGCTCCTAGACCAGGCACGCTCGTGGACGAGGCATGCTCCTGAACCAAGCAAGCTCCTAGACCAAGCACGCTCCTGGACCAGGCAAGCTCCTGGACAAGGCAAGCTCCGGGACCACGCATGCTCTTGTACCAGGCACGCTCCTAGACCAGGCAAGCTCTTGCACCATGCACGCTTCTGGACCAAGCAAGCTCCTGGACTAGGCAAGCTCCTGGACCAGGCACGCTCTAGGACCAGGCAAGCTCCTCGACCAGGCAAGCTCCTGAACCAGGCATGCTCCTGGATCAAGCAAGCTCCTGGACCAGGCAAGCTCCTGGACCAGGCAAGCTCATGGACCAGGCAAGCTCCTGGACCAGGCACGCTCGTGGACTAGGCACGCTCTTAGACCACGCAAGCTCTTGGACCAGGCAGGCTCGTGGACCAGGCACGCTCAGGGACCAGGCAAGCTCCTGGACAAGGCAAGCTCCTGGACCAGGAAGCTCCTGGACCAGGCACGCTCGTGGACCAGGCACGCTCCCGAACAAGGCAAGCTCCAGGACCACGCAAGCTCTTGGACCAGGCATGCTCCTGGACAAGGCAAGCTCTTGGACCAGGCAAGCTTGTGGACCAAGCAAGCTCCTGAACCAGGCAAGCTCATGGACCACGCAAGCTCCTGGACCAGGCAAGATCTTGGACCTGGCAAGCTCTTGGACCAGGCAAGCTCCTGGACCAGGCAAGCTCCTGGACCAGGCACGCTCGTGGACGAGGCACGTTCCTGGACCAGGCAAGCTCTTGGACCAGGCAGGCTCGTGGACCAGGCAAGCTCTTGGACCAGGAAAGCTCCAGATCAGGCAAGCTCCTAGACCAGGCAAGCTCCTGGACCAGGCACGTTCCTGGACCAGGCAAGCTCCTGGACCAGGCACGTTCCTGGACCAGGCAAGTTCCTAGACCAGGCAAGCTCCTGGACCAGGCACGTTCATGGACCAGGCAAGCTCCTGGACCAGGCACGTTCCTGGACCAGGTAAGTTCCTGGACCAGGCAAGCTCCATATCAGGCAAGCTCCTAGACCAGGCAAGCTCCTGGACCAGGCATGGTCGTGGACCAGGCACGCTCTTGTCCAGGTCCACGTCCACGACCATGTCCACGTCCACGTCCACGTTCACGTCCACGTCCACGACCATGTCCACTTCCACGTGCACGTGTACGTCCACGTCCATGTCCACGTCCACGTCCACGTTCACGTCCACGTCCATGTCCACGTCTTTGCCACGTTCACGTCCACGTCCACGACCATGTCCACGTCCACGTTCACGTCCACGTCCACGTCCACGTCCACGTCCATGTCCACGTCCACGTCCACGTCCACGTCCACGTCCACGTCCACGACCATGTCCACGTCCACGTCCACGTCCACGTCCACATCCACGTCCACGTCCAAGTCCTCCACGTCCACGACCACGTCCACGTCCACGTCAACCTCCACGTCCACGACCACGTCCACGTCCACGTCCTTGTCCACGTCCACGTCCTCCACGTCCACGTCCACGTCCTCCACATCCACGTCCTCCACGTCCACGTCCACGTCCACGTCCACGTCCACGTCCACGTCTACGACCACGACCACATCCACGTCCATGTCCACGTCCACGTCCACGTCCACGTCCACGTCCACGTCCAGGTCCACGTCCACGTCCACGTCCACGTCCACGTCCACGTCCACGTCCACGACCACGTCCACGACCACGACCACGTCCACGTCAAGGTCCACGACCACGACCACGTCCACGTCCACGTCCACGTCCACGTCCACGACCACGTCCACGTCCACGTCAAGGTCCACGACCACGACCACGTCCACGTCCACGTCCACGACCACGTCCACGTCCACGTCCACGACCACGTCCACGTATCAATGTTCACGTCCACGTCCACGTCCACGTCCGCGTCCACGTCCACGTTCACGTCCGTGACCACGTCCACGTCCACGTCCACGTTCACGTCCACGTTCACGTGCACGTCCACGTGCACGTCCACGTCCACGTTCACGTTCACGTTCACGTCCACGTCCACGTCCACGTTCACGTCCACGTCCACGTCCACGTTCACGTCCACGTTCACGTTCACGTTCACGTTCACGTTCACGTCCACGTCCACGTCCACGTTCACGTTCACGTCCACGTCCACGTGCACGTCCACGTCCACGTCCACGTCCACGTCCACGTCCATGACCACGTCCACGTCCACGTCCACGTCCACGTCCACGTCCACGTCCACGACCACGTCAACGTCCACGTCCACGTATCAATGTTCACGTCCACGTCCACGTCCACAACCACGTCAACGACCACGTCAACGCCCACGTCCACGTCCACGTCCACGTCCACGTCCACGTCCACGTCCACGCCCACGTCAACGCCCACGTCCACGTCCACGTCCACGTCCATGTCCACGACCACGTCCACGTCCACGTCCACGTCCACGTCCATGTCCATGTCCACGTCCACGTCCACGTCAACGTCCACGTCCACGTCCATGTCCACGTCCACGACCACGTCCACGACCACGACCACGTCCACGTCAAGGTCCACGACCATGTCTACATCCACGTCCACGTCCACGACCATGTCCACGTCCACGTCCACGTCCACGTCCACGTCCACGTATCAATGTTCACGTCCACGTCCACGTCCGCGTCCACGTCCACGTCCACGTCCACGTCCACGTTCACGTCCACGTTCACGTTCACGTCCACGTGCACGTGCACGTCCACGTTCACGTTCACGTTCACGTCCACGTGCACGTCCACGTCCACGACCACGTCCACGTCCACGTCCACGTCCACGACCACGTCCACGTCCGCGTCCACGTATCAATGTTCACGTCCACGTCCACGTCCACGTCCCCGTCCACGTTCACGTCCACGTCCACGTCCACGTCCACGTCCACGTCCACGTCCGCGTCCACGTCCGCGTCCACGTCCGCGTCCACGTCCCCGTCCACGTCCGCGTCCACGTCAGTCCACGTCCAAGTCCTCCACATCCAAGTCCTCCACGTCCACGACCACGTCCACGTCCACGTCCACGACCACGTCCACGACCACGTCCACGTCCACGACCACGTCCACGACCACGTCCACGTCCACGACCACGTCCACGACCACGTCCACGTCCACGTCCACGTCCATGTCCAAGTCCTCCACGTCCAAGTCCTCCACGTCCACGACCACGTCCATGACCACGTCCACGTCCACGTCCACGTCCACGCCCACGTCCAAGTCCTCCACGTCCAAGTCCTCCACGTCCATGACCACATCCACGAGCACGTCCACGTCCACGTCCATGTCCACGTCCACGTCCACGACCACGTCCACGTCCACGTCCACGACCACGTCCACGTCCACGACCACGTCCACGACCACGTCCAGGTCCACGTCCACGTCCATATCCACGTCCATGTCCACGTCCACGTCCACGTCCACATCCATGTCCACGACCACGTCCACGTCCACGTCCACCTCCACGTCCAAGTCCACGTCCACGTCAACGTCCACGTCTACGTCCATGTCCACGTCCACGTCCACGTCCATGTCCACGACCACGTTCACGTCCACGTCCACGTCCACGTCCATGTCCACGTCAACGTCCACGTCCACGTCCACGTCCACGTCCACGTCCACGACCATGTCCATGTCCATGTCCACGTCAACGTCCACGTCCACGCCCACGTCCACGTCCACGTCCACGTCCACGTCCACGTCCACGACCACGTCCACGACCACGTCCACGTCCACGACCACGTCCACGACCACGTCCACGTCCACGACCACGTCCACGACCACGTCCACGTCCACGTCCACGTCCATGTCCAAGTCCTCCACGTCCAAGTCCTCCACGTCCACGACCACGTCCATGACCACGTCCACGTCCACGTCCACGTCCACACCCACGTCCAAGTCCTCCACGTCCAAGTCCTCCACGTCCATGACCACATCCACGAGCACGTCCACGTCCACGTCCATGTCCACGTCCACGTCCACGACCACGTCCACGTCCACGTCCACGACCACGTCCACGTCCACGACCACGTCCACGACCACGTCCAGGTCCACGTCCACGTCCATATCCACGTCCATGTCCACGTCCACGTCCACGTCCACATCCATGTCCACGACCACGTCCACGTCCACGTCCACCTCCACGTCCAAGTCCACGTCCACGTCAACGTCCACGTCTACGTCCATGTCCACGTCCACGTCCACGTCCATGTCCACGACCACGTTCACGTCCACGTCCACGTCCACGTCCATGTCCACGTCAACGTCCACGTCCACGTCCACGTCCACGTCCACGTCCACGACCATGTCCATGTCCATGTCCACGTCAACGTCCACGTCCACGCCCACGTCCACGTCCACGTCCACGTCCACGTCCACGACTACGTTCACGTCCACGTCCTCGTCCACGACCACGACAATGTCCACGTCCACGTCCACGTCCACGACAATGTCCACGTCCACGTCCACGTCCATGTCCACGTCCACGTCCATGTCCACGTCCACGTCCATGTCCATGTCCACGTCCACGTCCACGTCCACGTCCATGTCCATGTCCATGTCCACGTCCACGTCCACGTCCACGTCCAAGTCCACGTCCAAGTCCTCCACGTCCATGTCCACGTCCACGTCCACGTCCACGTCCACGTCCTCGACCATGTCCACGTCGACGTCCACGTCCACGTCCACGTCCACGTCCATGTCCATGTCCACGTCCATGTCCACGTCCACGTCCACGTCCACGTCCACGTCCATGTCCAAGTTCATGTCCACGTCCATGTCCACGTCCACGTCCACGTCCACGTCCATGTCCACGTCCACGTCCATGTCCATGTCCACGTCCACGTCCACGTCCACGTCCATGTCCATGTCCACGTCCACGTCCACGTCCAAGTCCACGTCCAAGTCCTCCACGTCCTCGTCCACGTCCACGTCCACGTCCACGTCCACGTCCACTTCTACGTCCACGTCCACGTCCACGTCCACGTCCATGTCCACGTCCACGTCCACGTCCACGTCCACGTCGACGTCGACGTCCACGTCCATGTCCACGTCCATGTCCACGTCCACGTCCATGTCCACGTCCATGTCCACGTCCACGTCCACGTCCACGTCCACGTCCATGTCCACGTCCATGTCCAAGTCCATGTCCACGTCCATGTCCACGTCCATGTCCAAGTCCATGTCCACGTCCAAGTCCACGTCCATGTCCACGTCCATGTCCACGTCCAAGTCCTCCACGTCCACGTCCACGTCCACGTCCATGTCCACATCCACGTCCATGTCCACGTCCACGTTCACATCAATCCACATCCAAATCCTCCACGTCCAAGTCCTCCACATCCACGTCCACGTCCATGTCCATGTCCACGTCCACGTCCAGGTCCACGTCCACGTCTACGTCCATGTCGAGGAGCTTGCCTCGTCCAAGAGCTTGCCTTGTCCAAGAGCTTGCGAGGTCCAGGAGCTTGCCTGGTCTAGGAGCTCGCCTGGTCCAAGAGCTTGCCTGGTCGAGGAGCGTGCCTGGTTCAGGAGCTTGCCTTTTCCACGAGCGTGCCTGGTCCAGGAGCTTGCCTTGTCCAGGAGCTTTCTTGGTCCGTGAGCTTGCCTGGTCCAGGAGCTTGCGAGGTCCAGGAGCTTGCCTGGTCCAAGAGCTTGCCTGGTCCAAGAGCTTGCGTGGTCCAGGAGCTTGCCTGGTCCAAGAGCTTGCCTGGTCTAGGAGCTTGCCTGGTCCAGGAGCTTGACTGGTCTAGGATCTTGCCTGGTCCAAGAGCTTGGGTGGTCCACGAGCTTGCCTGGTCTAGGAGCTTGCCTGGTCCAGGAGCTTGCCTGGTCCAGGAGCTTGCCTGTTCGAGGAGCGTGCCTGGTCCAAGAGCTTGCCTGGTCCAAGAGCGTGCATGGTCCACGAGCGTGCCTGGTCCATGAACTTGCCTGGTCTAGGAGCTTGCCTAGTCAAGGAGCTTGCCCCGTCCAGGAGCTTGCCTGGTCCAGGAGCTTGTCTGGTCTAGGAGCTTGCCTGGTCCAGGAGCTTGTCTGGTCCAGGTTCGTGCCTGGTCCACGAGTTTGCCTGGTCCAGAAGCTTGCCTGGTCCAGGAGCTTGCCTGGTCTAAGAGCTTGCATGGTCCAGGAGCGTGCCTGGTCCAAGAGCTTGCCTGGTCCATGAGCTATCCTGGTCCAGGAGCTTGCTTGGTCCAGGAGATTGCCTGGTCCAAGAGCTTGCCTGTTCTAGGAGCGTGCCTGGTCCAAGAGCTTGCCTAGTCCAAGAGCGTGCATGGTCCACGAGCGTGCCTGGTCCAGGAGCTTGCCTGGTCCAGGAGCTTGCCTAGTCAAGGAGCTTGCCTGGTCCAGGAGCTTGCCTGGTCCAGGAGCTTGCCTGGTCCACGAGACTGCCTGGTCCAAGAGCTTGCTTCGTCCTGGAGCGTGCACGGTCCACGAGCGTGCCTGGTCCAGGAGTTTGCCTGGTCCAGAAGCTTGCGTGGTCCAATAGCTTGCTTGGTCCAGAAGCCTGCCTGGTCCAAGAGCTTGCCTGGTCTAGGAGTGTGCCTGTTCCAAGAGCTTGCATGATCCAGGAGCTTGCGTGGTCGAGGAGCTTGCCTGGTCCAGGAGCTTGCCTGGTCCAGGAGCTTGCCTGGACCAAGAGCTTGCCTGGTCCAAGAGCTTGCGTGGTCCAGGAGCTTGCCTGGTCCAGGAGCTTGCCTGGTCTAGGAGCTTGCCTGGTCCACGAGCTTGCCTCGTCCAGGAGCGTGCCAGGTCCAAGAGTTTGCCTGGTCCAGAAGCTTGCTTGGTCCAGGAGCTTGCATGCTCCAGGAGCGTGCCTGGTCCAGGAGCTTGCCTGGTCCAGGAGCTATCCTGGTCCAGGAGCTTGCCTGGTCCAGGAGCTTGCCTGGTCCAGGAGCTTGCCTGGTCTAGGAGCTTGCCTCTTCCACGAGCATTCCTGGTCCAGGAGCTTGCCTTGTCTAGGAGCTTTCTTGGTCCGTTAGCTTGCCTGGTACAGGAGCTTGCTTAGTCTAGGAGATTTCCTGGTCCAAGAGCTTGCCTGGTCCAGTAGCTTGCCTGGTCCAACAGCTTGCCTGGTCCAGAAGCTTGCGTGGTCCAATAGCTTGCTTGGTCCAGAGGTCCAAGAGCTTGCCAGGTCCACGAGTGTGCCTGGTCCAAGAGCTTGCGTGGTCCAGGAGCTTGCGTGGTCCAGGAGCTTGCCTGGTCCAAGAGCTTGCCTGGTCCAGGAGCTTTGCATGGTCCAAGAGCTTGCCTGTTCCAAGAGCTTACGTGGTCCAGGAGCTTGCCTGGTCAAGGAGCTTCCCTGGTCTAGGAGCTTGCCTGGTCCAGGAGCTTGCCTGGTCCAGGAGCGTGCCTGATCCACGAGTTTGCCTGGTCCAGAAGCTTGCCTGGTCTAGGAGCTTGCCTAGTCTAGCAGCTTGCATGGTCCAGGAGCTTGCCTGGTCCAGGAGCTTGCCTGGTCTAGGAGCTATCCTGGTCCAGGAGCTTGCCTGGTCTAGGAGCTATCCTGGTCCAGGAGCTTGCCTGGTCCAGGAGTTGCCTGTTCCACGAGCGTGCCTGGTCCTGGAGCTTGCCTTGTCCAAGAGCTTTCTTGGTCCGTTAGCTTGCCTCGTCCAGGAGCTTGCCTGGTCCAGGAGCGAGCATGGTCTACGAGCGTGCTTGGTCCAGGAGCTTGCCTAGTCCAGGAGCTTGCCTGGTCAAGGAGCTTGCCTGGTTCGGGAGCTTGCCTGGTCCTGGAGCTTGCATGGTCCACGAGCCTGCCTGGTCCAAGAGCTTGCCTGGTTTAAGAGCGTGCATGGTCCACGAGTGTGCCTGGTCCAGGAGCTTGCCTGGTCCAGGAGCTTGCCTGGTCCAAAAGCTTGCTTGGTCCAGAAGCCTGCCTGGTCCAAGAGCTTGCCTGGTCAAGGAGCGTGCCTGGTCCAAGAGCTTGCGTGGTCTAGGAGATTGCGCGGTCCAGGAGCTTGCCTGGTCCACGAGCTTGCCTGATCCACGAGCTTGCCTGGTCCACGAGCTTGCCTGGTCCAGGAGCTTGCCTGGTCCAGGAGCTTGCCTGGTCCATGAGCTTGCCTGTTCCACGAGCGTGCCTGGTCTAGGAGCTTGCCTTGTCCAGGAGCTTTCTTGGTCCAAGAGCTTGCCTGGTCCAGGAGCTTGCCTGGTCCAAGAGCTTGCCTGGTCCAGGAGCTTGCCTGGTCCAGGAGCTTGCCTGGTCCAAGAGCTTGCCTGGTCGAGGAGCTTGCCCGGTCCACGAGCTTGCCTGGTCCAGGAGCGTGTCGATCCACTAGCTTGCGTGGTCCAAGAGCGTGCCTGGTCCAGGAGTGTGCCTGGTCTACGAGCGAGCCTGGTCCAGGAGCTTGCCTGGTCTAGGAGCTTGCCTGGTCAAGGAGCTTGCCTGGTCCGGGAGCTTGCCTGGTCCAGGTGCTTGCTTGGTCCACGAGCCTGCCTGGTCCAAGAGCTTGCCTGGTCCAAGAGCGTGCATGGTCCACGAGCGTGCCTGGTCCAGGAGCTTGCCTAGTCCAAAAGCTTGCTTGGTACAGAAGCCTGCCCGGTCCAAGAGCTTGCCTGGTCCAGGAGCGTGCCTGGTCCAAGAGCTTGCGTGGTCTAGGAGCTTGCGTGGTCCAGGAGCTTGCGTGGTCCACGAGCTTGCCTGGTCCAAGAGCTTGCCTTGTCCAAGAGCTTGCCTGGTCCAAGAGCTTGTGTGGTCTAGGAGCTTGCCTGGTCCACGAGCTTGCCTGGTCTAGGAGCTCTCTTGGTCCAGGAGCTTGCCTGGTCCAGGAGCGTGCCTGGTCCACGAGTTTGCCTGGTCCAAAAACTTGCTTGGTCCAGGTGCTTCCCTGGTCTAGGAGCTTGCATGGTCTAGGAGCGTGCCTGGTCCAGGAGCTTGCCTGGTCCAGGAGCTATCCTGGTCCAGGAGCTTGCTTGGTCCAGGAGCTTGCCTGGTCCAGGAGCTTTCCTGTTCCACGAGTGTGCCTGGTCCAGGAGCTTGCCTTGTCGAGGAGCTTTCTTGGTCCAAGAGCTTGCCTAGTCCAGGAGCTTGCCTCGTCCAGGAGCTTGCCTGGTCCAAGAGATTGCCTGGTCTAGGAGCTTGCCTGGTCCAGGAGCTTGCCTGGTCCAGGAGCTTGCGTGGTCCAAGAGCTTGCCTCGTCGAGGAGCTTGCTTGGTCCACGAGCTTGCCTGGTCCAGGAGTGTGCCTGATCCACGAGCTTGCCTGGTCAAAGAGCGTGCCTTGTCCAAGAGCGTGCCTGGTCTATGAGCGAGCCTAGTCCAGGAGCTTGCCTGGTCCTGGAGCTTGCCTGGTCAAGGAGCTTTTGTGGTCCAGGAGCTTGCCTGGTCCACGAGCCTGCCTGATCCAAGAGCTTGCCTGGTCCAGGAGCGTGCATAGTCCACGAGCGTGCCTAGTCCACGAGCTTGCCTGGTCCAGGAGCTTGCCTGGTCCACGAGCCTGCCTGGTCCAAGAGCTTGCCTGGTTCAGGAGCGTGCATGGTCCACGAGCGTGCCTGGTCTTGGAACTTGCCTGGTCTAGGACCTTGCCTGGTCCAAGAGCTCGCGTGGTCCAGGAGCGTGCCTGGTCCGAGAGCTTGCGTAGTCCAGGATCTTGCATGGTCCAAGAGCTTTCCTGGTCCAGGAGCTTGCCTGGTCCAGGAGCTTGCCTCGTCCAAGAGCTTGCCTGGTCCAAGAGCTTGCGAGGTCCAGGAGCTTGCCTGGTCCAGGAGCTTGCCTGGTCTAGGAGCTTGCCTGGTCAAGGAGCTTCCTTGGTCCAGGAGCGTGCCTGGTCCACGAGTTTGCCTGGTCCAGAAACTTGCCTGGTTCAGGAGCTTGCCTGGTCTAGGAGCTTGCATGGTCCAGGAGCGTGCCTGGTCCAGGAGCTTGCCTGGTCGAGGAGCTATCCTGGTCCAGGAGCTTGCCTGGTCCAGGAGCTTGCTTGGTCCAGGAGCTTGCCTGTTCCACGAGCGTGCCTGGTCCAAGAGCTTGCCTTGTCCAGGAGCTTTCTTGGTCCAGGAGCTTGCCTGGTCCAGGAGCTTGCCTGGTCCAAGAGCTTGCTTGGTCGAGGAGCTTGCCCGTTCCACGAGCTTGCCTGGTCCAGGAGCGTGTCGATCCACTAGCTTGCCTGGTCCAAGAGCGTGCCTGGTCCAGGAGTGTGCCTGGTCTACCAGCGAGCCTGGTCCAGGAGCTTGCCTGGTCCAGGAGCTTGCCTGGTCAAGGAGCTTGCCTGGTCCTGGAGCTTGCCTGGTCCAGGAGCTTGCCTGGTCCACGAGCCTGCCTGGTCCAAGAGCTTGCCTGGTCCAAGAGCGTGCATGGTCCACGAGCGTGCCTGGTCCAGGAGCTTGCCTGGTCCAAAAGCTTGCTTGGTCCAGAAGCCTGCTCGGTCCAAGAGCTTGCCTGGTCCAGAAGCGTGCCTGGTCCAAGAGCTTGCGTGGTCTAGGAGCTTGCGTGGTCCAGGAGCTTGCCTGGTCCACGAGCTTGCCTGGTCCAAGAGCTTGCCTGGTCCAAGAGCTTGCCTGGTCCAAGAGCTTGCGTGGTCTAGGAGCTTGCCTGGTCTAGGAGCTTGCCTGGTCTAGGAGCTCTACTGGTCCAGGAGCTTGCCTGGTCCAGGAGCGTGCCTGGTCCACGAGTTTGCCTGGTCCAGAAACTTGCTTGGTCTAGGAGCTTGCCTGGTCTAGGAGCTTGCATGGTCCAGGAGTGTGCCTGGTCCAGGAGCTTGCCTGGTCCAGGAGCTATCCTGGTCCAGGAGCTTGCCTGGTCCAGGAGCTATCCTGGTCCAGGAGCTTGCCTGGTCCAGGAGCTTGCCTGGTCCAGGAGATTGCCTTGTCCAAGAGCTTGCCTGGTCTAGGAGCTTGCCTGGTCCAGGAGCTTGCCTGGTCCAGGATCTTGCCTGGTCCAAGAGCTTGCCTGGTCGAGGAGCTTGCTTGGTCCACGAGCTTGCCTGGTCCAGGAGTGTGCCTGATCCACGAGCGTGCCTGGTCTACGAGCGAGCCTAGTCCAGGAGCTTGCCCGGTCTAGGAGCTTGCCTGGTCAAGGAGCTTGTGTGGTCCAGGAGCTTGCCTGGTCCACGAGCCTGCCTGGTCCAAGAGCGTGCATAGTCCACGAGCGTGCGTGGTCCAGGAGCTTGCCTGGTCCAGGAGCTTGCCTGGTCCAGGAGCTTGCCTGGTCCACGAGCCTGCCTGGTCCAAGAGCTTGCCTCGTTCAGGAGCGTGCATGGTCCACGAGCGTGCCTAGTCTTGGAGCTTGCCTGGTCTAGGACCTTGCCTGGTCCAAGAGCTTGCTTGGTCCAGGAGCGTGCCTAGTCCGAGAGCTTGCGTAGTCCAGGAGCTTGCCTGGTCCAAGAGCTTGCGAGGTCCAGGAGCTTGCCTGGTCTAGGAGCTTGTGTGGTCCAGGAGCTTGCCTGGTCCACGAGCCTGCCTGGTCCAAGAGCGTGCCTGGTCCGAGAGCTTGCGTAGTCCAGGAGCTTGCATGGTCCAAGAGCTTGCCTGGTCTAGGAGCTTGCCTGGTCCAGGAGCTTGCCTCGTCCAAGAGCTTGCCTGGTCCAAGAGCTTGCGAGGTCCAGGAGCTTGCCTGGTCCAGGAGCTTGCCTGGTCTAGGATCTTGCCTGGTCAAGGAGCTTCCTTGGTCTACGAGCGTGCCTGGTCTACGAGTTTGCCTGGTCCAGAAACTTGCCTGGTTCAGGAGCTTGCCTGGTCTAGGAGCTTGCATGGTCCAGGAGCGTGCCTGGTCTAGGAGCATGCCTGGTCGAGGAGCTATCCTGGTCGAGGAGCTTGCCTGGTCCAGGAGCTTGCCTTTTCCACGAGTGTGCCTGGTCCAGGAGCTTGCCTTGTCCAGGAGCTTTCTTGGTCCGTGGGCTTGCCTGGTCCAGAAGCTTGCCTGGTCCAGGAGCTTGCCTGGTCCAAGAGCTTGCCTGGTCGAAGAGCTTGCGTGGTCCAGGAGCTTGCCTGGTCCAAGAGCTTGCCTGGCCGAGGAGCTTGCCTAGTCCAGTAGCTTGCCTCGTTCAGGAGCTTGCGTGGTCTAGGAGCTTGCCTGGTCCAGGAGCTTGCCTGGTCCAGGTTTGTGCCTTGTCCACGAGTTTGCTTGGTCCAGAAGCTTGCCTGGTCCAAGAGCTTGCCTGGTCTAAGAGCTTGCATGGTCAAGGAGCGTGCGTGGTCCAAGAGCTTGCCTGGTCCAGGACCTATCCTGGTCCTGGAGCTTGCATGTTCCAGGAGCGTGCCTGGTCCAGGAGCTTGCCTGGTCCAGGAGCTTTCCTTTGTCCAGGAGCTATCCTGGTCCAGGAGCTTGCCTGGTCCAGGAGCTTGCCTGGTCCAGGAGCTTGCCTGTTCGAGGAGCGTGCCTGGTCCAAGAGCTTGCCTGGTCCAAGAGCGTGCATGGTTCACGAGCGTGCCTGGTCCATGAACTTGCCTGGTCAGGAGCTTGCCTAGTCAAGGAGCTTGCGTGGTCCAGGAGCTTGCCAGGTCCAGGAGCTTGCCTGGTTCAGGAGCTTGCCTGGTCTAGGAGCTTGCCTGGTCCAGGAGCTTGCCTGGTCCAGGTTCGTGCCTGGTCCACGAGTTTGCCTAGTCCAGAAGCTTGCCTGGTCCAGGAGCTTGCCTGGTCTAAGAGCTTGACTTATCCAGGACCTTGCGTGGTCGAGGAGCTTGCCTGGTCAAGGAGCTTGCCAGGTCCAGGAGCTTGCCTGGTCCAAGAGCTTGCCTGGTCCAAGAGCTTGCGTGGTCCAGGAGCTTGCCTTGTCGAGGAGCTTGCCTGGTCTAGGAGCTTGCCTGGTCTAGGAGCTTGCCTGGTCTAGGAGCGTGCGTGGTCCACGAGTTTGCCTGGTCCAGAAGCTTGCCTCGTCCAGGAGCTTGCCTGGTCTAGGAGCTTGCATGGTCCAGGAGTGTGCCTAGTCCAGGAGCTTGCCTAGTCCAGGAGCTATCCTGGTCAAGGAGCTTGCCTGGTCCAGGAGCTTGCCTGGTCCACGAGCGTCCACGTCCATGTCCAAGTCCACGTCCTTGTCTACGTCCACGTCCACGTCCATGTCCACGTCCACGTCCACGTCCATGTCCACGTCCTTGTCTACGTCCATGTCTACGTCCACGTCCACGTCCACGTCCAAGTCCATGTCCACGTCCACGTCCACGTCCACGTCTACGTCCACGTCCACGTCCACGTCTAAGTCCATGTCCACGACCACGTCCACGTCTACGTCCACGTCCACGTCCACGTCTAAGTCCATGTCCACGTCTAAGTCCATGTCCACGTCCACGTCCACGTCCACGTCCACGTCCACGACCATGTCTTAGTCCACGTCCACGTCCACGTCCACGTCCACGTCCACATCCACGACCATGTCTTCGTCCACGTCCACGTCCACGTACATGTCCACGTCCAAGTTCTCCACGTCCACGTCCACGTCCATGTCCATGTCCACGTCCATGTCCATGTCCACGTCCATGTCCACGTCCATGTCCACGTCCACGTCCACGTCCATGTCCATGTCCACGTCCATGTCCACGTCCACGTCCACGTCCATGCCTATCTCCACGTCCAAGTCCTCCACGTCCATGTCCACGTCCATCTCCACGTCCACGTCCATGTCCACGTCCATGTCCACGTCCACGTCCACGTCCACGTCCACGTCCACGTCCACGTCCACGTCCACGTCCACGTCCACGTCCACGTCCACGTCCACGTCCACGTCCACGTCCACGTCCACGTCCACGTCCACGTCCACGTCCACGTCCACGTCCACGTCCACGTCCACGTCCACGTCCGCGTCCACGTCCACGTCCGCGTCCACGTCCGCGTCCACGTCCGCGTCCACGTCCGCGTCCACGTCCGCGTCCACGTCCGCGTCCACGTCCGCGTCCGCGTCCACGTCCGCGTCCACGTCCGCGTCCACGTCCGCGTCCACGTCCACGTCCGTCCACGTCCACGTCCACGTCCACGTCCGCGTCCGTCCACGTCCGCGTCCGTCCACGTCCGCGTCCACGTCCGTGTCCACGTCCACGTCCACGTCCGCGTCCGCGTCCACGTCCACGTCCGCGTCCGCGTCCGCGTCCGCGTCCACATCCGCGTCCGCGTCCACGTCCGCGTCCGCGTCCGCGTCCACGTCCGCGTCCACGTCGTCCACGTCCGCGTCCGCGTCCACGTCGTCCACGTCCGCGTCCGCGTCCGCGTCGACGTCCGCGTCCGCGTCCGTCCACGTCCACGTCCACGTCCGCGTCCGTCCACGTCCGCGTCCACGTCTGCGTCCGCGTCCCCGTCCACGTCCGCGTCTGCGTCCGCGTCCACGTCCGCGTCCGCGTCCGCGTCCGCGTCCACGTCCGCGTCCGCGTCCACGTCCGCGTCCACGTCCACGTCGACCTCCACGTCCGCGTCCACGTCCACGTCCACGTCCGCGTCCACCTCGACGTCCGCGTCCACCTCGACGTCCACGTCCACCTCGACGTCCACGTCCACCTCGACGTCCACGTCCACGTCCACGTCCACGTCCACGTCCACGTCCACGTCACGTCCACGTCCACGTCACGTCCACGTCCACGTCCACGTCCACGTCCACGTCCACGTCCACGTCCAGGTCCACGTCCACGTCACGTCCACGTCCACGTCCACGTCCACGTCCACGTCCACGTCCACGTCCACGACCACGTCCACGACCACGTCCACGTCCACGTCCATGTCCACGTCCAAGTCCACGACCAAGTCCACGTCCACGTCCACGTCCACGTCCACGTCCACGTCCATCTCCACGTCCACGTCCACGTCCACGTCCACGACCACGACCACGTCCACGTCCACGTCCACGTCCACGTCCACGTCCACGTCCACGTCTTCGTCCACGACCACGTCCACGTCCACGTCCACGACCACGTCCACGTCCACGTCCACGTCCACGTCCACGTCCACGTCCACGTCCACGTCCACGTCCAGGTCCACGTCCACGTCCACGTCCACGTCTACGTCCACGTCCACGTCCACGTCCACGTCCACGTCACGTCCACGTCCACGTCCATGTCCACGTCCAAGTCCTCCACGTCCACGTCCACGTCCACGTCCACGTCCATGTCCATGTCCAAGTTCTCCACGTCCACGTCCACCTCCACGTCCACGTCCATGTCCACGTCCATGTCCATGTCCACGTCCACGTCCACCATTTTCTCTACATATTTGCGTTAGTTACCTTTCAAACCCTTACGTTCACTAGATGAATTTATTTCCTTCCTTCTATTTGAGTGAGACCACTAGATTTCGTGTACTATGCGAGATCTGAGCAGTTCCGTTCTCCCAGGCATTTGCACTCTAAGTTCCCATACTGACCGACCTGGCCAATGCACCATTTTCCATATACATACGCATTAGATTCCTTTCGAACCTTATTAGCTCACTAGATTTATATATTTCCCACCTTCTGATCGAGTGAGACCGCTAGATTCCCTTTACTTTTTGAGAAATGAGCGTTTCCGTTCTCCTTGGCCCTACTTGCACTATAAGTGCGAAATGCCGGCCAGACTGGCCGATGCACCATTTTCTCTACACATGTGCGTTAGTTACCTTTCAAACCCTTACATTCACTAGATGAATTTATTTCCTACCTTCTATTTGAGTGAGACCACAAGATTCCGTGTACTATGCGAGATCTGAGGGCTTCCGTTCTCCCTGGCATTTGCATTTTAAGTTCCGATACTGACCGACCTGGCCAATGCACCATTTTCTCTATACATGTGCGTTGAATACATTTCAAACCTTTTTAGCTGACTATATTTATATATTTCCCACCTTCTGATCGAGTGAGACCGTTAGATTCCCTCTACTTTTTGAGAAATGAGCGTTTCCGTTCTCCCTGGCCACACTTGCACTATGAGTGCGAAATGCCGGCCAGACTGGCCGATGCACCATTTTCTCTACACATGTGCGTTAGTTACCTTTCAAACCCTTACGTTCACTAGATGAATATATTTCCTACCTTATATTTGAGTGAGACCACTAGATTCCGTGTATTATGCGAGATCTGAGCGGTTCCGTTCTCCCAGGCATTTGCACTCTAAGTTCCCATACTGACCGACCTGGCCAATGCACCACGTTCCATATACATATGCATTAGATTCCTTCCGAACCTTATTAGCTCACTAGATTTATATATTTTCCACCTTCTGATCTAGTGAGACCGCTAGATTCCCTTTACTTTTTGAGAAATGAGGGTTTCCGTTCTCCTTGGCCCTACTTGCACTATAAGTGCGAAATGCCGGCCAGACTGGCCGATGCACCATTTTCTCTACACATGTGCGTTAGTTACCTTTCACACCCTTACGTTCACTAGATGAATATATTTCCTACTTTTTATTTGAGTGAGACCACTTGATTCCGTGTACTATGCGAGATCTGAGGGCTTCCGTTCTCCCTGGCATTTGCATTTTAAGTTCCGATACTGACCGACCTGGCCAATGCACCATTTTCTCTATACATGTGCGTTGAATACATTTCAAACCTTTTTAGCTGACTAGATTTATATATTTCCCACCTTCTGATTGAGTGAGACCATTAAATTCCCTCTACTTTTTGAGAAACGAGCGTTTCCGTTCTCCCTGGCCCCACCTGCACTTTGAGTGCGAAATGCCGGCCAGACTCGCCGATGCACCATTTTCTCTACACATGTGCGTTACTTACCTTTAAAACCCTTACGTTCACTAGATGAATATATTTCCTACCTTATATTTGAGTGAGACCACTAGATTCCGTGTATTATGCGAGATCTGAGCGGTTCTGTTCTCCGAGGCATTTGCACTCTAAGTTCCCATACTGACCGACCTGGCCAATGCACCACTTTCCATATACATATGCATTAGATTCCTTCCGAACCTTATGATCTCACTATATTTATATATTTCCCACCTTCTGATCGAGTGAGACCGCTAGATTCCCTTTACTTTTTGAGAAATGAGCGTTTCCGTTCTCCTTGGCCCTACTTGCACTATAAGTGCGAAATGCCGGCCAGACTGGCCGATGCACCATTTTCTCTACACATGTGCGTTAGTTACCTTTCAAACCCTTACGTTCACTAGATGAATTTATTTCCTACCTTCTATTTGAGTGAGACCACTAGATTCCGTGTACTATGCGAGATCTGAGCGCTTCCGTTCTCCCTGGCATTTGCACTCTAAGTTCCCATACTGACCGACCTGGCCAATGCACCATTTTCCATATACATATGCATTAGATTCCTTTCGAACCTTATTAGCTCACTAGATTTATATATTTCCCACCTTCTGATCGAGTGAGACCGCTAGATTCCCTTTACTTTTTGAGAAATGAGCGTAGCCATTCTCCTTGGCCCTACTTGCACTATAAGTGCGAAATGCCGGCCAGACTGGCCAATGCATCATTTTCTCTACACATGTGCGTTAGTTACCTTTCAAACCCTTACGTTCACTAGATGAATTTATTTCCTACCTTCTTTTTGAGTGAGACCACTAGATTCCGTGTACTATGCGAGATCTGAGCGCTTCCGTTCTCCCTGGCATTTGCACTCTAAGTTCCCATACTGACCGACCTGGCCAATGCACCATTTTCCATATACATATGCATTAGATTCCTTTCGAACCTTATGAGCTCACTAGATTTATATATTTTCCACCTTCTGATCGAGTGAGACCGCTAGATTCCCTTTACTTTTTGAGAAATGAGCGTTTCCGTTCTCCTTGGCCCTACTTGCACTAGAAGTGCGAAATGCCGGCCAGACTGGCCGATGCACCACTTTCTCTACACATGTGCGTTAGTTACCTTTCAAACCCTTACGTTCACTAGATGAATTTATTTCCTACCTTCTATTTGAGTGAGACCACTAGATTCCGTGTACTGTGCGAGATCTGAGCGCTTCCGTTCTCCCTGGCATTTGCACTCTAAGTTCCCATACTGACCGACCTGGCCAATGCACCATTTTCCATATACATATGCATTAGATTCTTTTCGAACCTTATTAGCTCACTAGATTTATATATTTCCCACCTTCTGATCGAGTGAGACCGCTAGATTCCCTTTACTTTTTGAGAAATGAGCGTTTCCGTTCTCCTTGGCCCTACTTGCACTATAAGTGCGAAATGCCGGCCAGACTGGCCGATGCACCATTTTCTCTACACATGTGCGTTAGTTACCTTTCAAACCCTTACGTTCACTAGATGAATTTATTTCCTACCTTCTATTTGAGTGAGACCACTAGATTCTGTGTACTATGCGAGATCTGAGCGCTTCCATTCTCCCTGGCATTTGCACTCTAAGTTCCCATACTGACCGACCTGGCCAATGCACCACTTTCGATATACATATGCATTAGATTCCTTTCAAACCTTATTAGCTCACTAGATTTATATATTTTCCACCTTCTGATCGAGTGAGACCACTAGATTCCCTTTACTTTTTGAGAAATGAGCGTCTCCGTTCTCCTTGGCCCTACTTGCACTATAAGTGGGAAATGCCGGCCAGACTGGCCGATGCACCATTTTCTCTACACATGTGCGTTAGTTACCTTTCAAACCCTTACGTTCACTAGATGAATTTATTTCCTACCTTCTATTTGAGTGAGACCACTAGATTCCGTGTACTATGCGAGATCTGAGCGCTTCCATTCTCCCTGGCATTTGCACTCTAAGTTCCCATACTGACCGACCTGGCCAATGCACCATTTTTCATATACATATGCATTAGATTCCTTTCAAACCTTATTAGCTCACTAGATTTATATATTTCCCACCTTCTGATTGAGTGAGACCGCTAGATTCTCTCTACTTTTTGAGAAATGAGCGTTTCCGTTCTCCTTGGCCCTAGTTGCACTATAAGTGCGAAATGCCGGCCAGACTGGCCGATGCACAATTTTCTCTACACATGTGCGTTAGTTACCTTTCAAACCCTTACGTTCACTAGATGAATATATTTCCTACTTTCTATTTGAGTGAGACCACTTGATTCCGTGTACTATGCGAGATCTGAGCGCTTCCGTTCTCCCTGGCATTTGCATTTTAAGTTCCGATACTAACCGACCTGGCCAATGCACCATTTTCTCTATACATGTACAATGAATACAATTCAAACCTTTTGAGCTGACTAGATTTATATATTTCCCACCTTCTGATCGAGTGAGACCGTTAGATTCCCTCTACTTTTTGAGAAACGACCGTTTCCGTTCTCCCTGGCCCCACCTGCACTATGAGTGAAAATGCCGGCCAGACTGGCCGATGCACCATTTTCTCTACACTTGTGCGTAAGTTACCTTTCAAACCCTTACGTTCACTAGATGAATATATTTCCTACCTTATATTTGAGTGAAACCACTAGATTCCATGTATTATGCGAGATTTGAGCGCTTCCGTTCTCCCTGGCATTTGCACTCTAAGTTCCCATACTGACCGACCTGGCCAATGCACCATTTTCCATATACATATGCATTAGATTCCTTTCGAACCTTATTAGCTCACTAGATTTATATATTTCCCACCTTCTGATCGAGTGAGACCGCTAGATTCCCTTTACTTTTTTAGAAATGAGCGTTTCCGTTCTCCTTGGCCCTACTTGCACTATAAGTGGGAAATGCCGGCCAGACTGGCCGATGCACCATTTTCTCTACACATGTGCGTTACTTACCTTTCAAACCCTTACGTTCACTAGATGAATTTATTTCCTACCTTCTATTTGAGTGAGACCACTAGATTCCGTGTACTATGCGAGATCTGAGCGCTTCCATTCTCCCTGGCATTTGCACTCTAAGTTCCCATACTGACCGACCTGGCCAATGCACCATTTTCCAAATACATATGCATTAGATTCCTTTCGAACCTTATTAGCTCACTAGATTTATATATTTTCCACCTTCTGATCGAGTGAGACCGCTAGATTCCCTTTCCTTTTTGAGAAATGAGCGTTTCCGTTCTCCTTGGCCCTAGTTGCACTTTTAGTGCGAAATGCCGGCCAGACTGGCCGATGCACCATTTTCTCTACACATGTGCGTTAGTTACCTTTCAAACCCTTACGTTCACTAGATGAATTTATTTCCTACCTTCTATTTGAGTGAGACCACTAGATTCCGGGTACTATGCGAGATCTGAGCGGTTCCATTCTCCCTGGCATTTGCACTCTAAGTTCCCATACTGACCGACCTGGCCAATGCACCATTTTCCATATACATATGCATTAGATTACTTCCGAACCTTATTAGCTCACTAGGTTTATATATTTCCTACCTTCTGATCGAGTGAGACCGCTAAATTCCCTTTACTTTTTGAGAAATAAGCGTTTCCGTTCTCCTTGGCCCTACTTGCACTATAAGTGCGAAATGCCGGCCAGACTGGCCGATGCACCATTTTCTCTAC